AACCAGTCCTCGGACCTGATCTGAGACATGACCTGTTTGACAGTGAGCATTTTGAACTTCAGGTGCATGACTGAGCGGTTTAATAGCCGCAGATCTAAAATTGGACGCAACCCTCCATCCTTCTTTGGAACAATGAAGTACCGGCTGTAGAACCCGGACTCCCTGTCGAGAGGAGGAACCACCTTGATGGCCTCCTTCCTCAAGAGAGTATTCACTTCTTGTTCTAATACCAGAGCCTGCTCGGGGCCCACTATTGTGCGGAAAACCCCTTTGAAAGGCGGCGGCGGAGCACCGAACTGAATGCGATAGCCTCTTTCTACAGTTTGCAGGACCCAACGAGATACATATTTGCAGTAGTTTCCACGCTGCTAGATAATCTACTAAGGGAACCAGTCTCTCGAGACTGGCCTCTGGTGTATTTGGAGCTGCTAGCTGGGTTCCCTGAAGAGGAGGACCGGCAGGAGACAGCCGAGCTAGCTGCTCGAGAGACCCCCGAAGGGGTGGCGAGGCTCTCAGCTCCGCTACGTTCCCGGGCGGTAAATACAGAGAGAAACACTCGCTGGAGACCACTGCGCCCTGGAACACTGGCAGGGTTGGCAGAACGATTTCCTAAGGGCGCCGAGGAGAGACGGACACTGTGTAATGTGGTGCACCTCGCTCTTCCCCAGTAGGGGCCGCACTCAGCAGTCCTGGGCTTAAAAATGTCAGGACTGATTCGTCGAGGGCTTCCTTGACTGAAGCATGACCCTCAGATCGGGCCTCATCTTAGAAGCCCCCGACGTAGAGCACCGCAGTCCTCGGTCCCGCTGCGGAGCGCGAGAGGCAACGCTCTGCTTTTGGACCTCCCTATATGAGGAGCTGGTACCCGGCTGGGGCTGCTCCCGCCCAGCAACCCCCAGAGCTATAGAACGGCGAGGGAGAAACCGCTGGAATGCCGCCGCCTGTTTACGAGCCTCCTGGAATCTTTCGATGACGGAATTGACGGCGTCGCCGAACAGACCAGAAGGCGCAAGCGGGGCATCCATTCTCTTTCATATCGGACAGGGTCAACCATAAATGCCTCTCCGCTGCCACCAGAGCTGCCATGGACCGCCCAATAGCACGAGCGGTCTCCTTGGTGGCACGGAGAGCTAAATCAGCGGTTCTCCCTAATTCTAAAATGTCATCTGCCTTGACTTGCTCGCCTTCATCAAGCTCTTTCAGCAGGTTGGCTTGGTATGCCTGTAACACTGACATAGTGTGCAGGCACGCACCAGCCTGACCCACAGCCGAGTACCCCTTGCCCACCAGCGCTGAAGTGGTTCGCAGCGGCTTGGAGGGCAAGACCGGAGCCTTCAGAGACTATGCCACGCCAGGCGACAGATAGCTCGCAAGCGGCTGCTCTGCCCGGGGCATCGCTCTGTAACTGTGTTCACCCAGCCCCGCCACATTTCCATAGTAATCAGAGGCGGGGACGAATAAGCGGGCCGAGAATGGTTTCTTCCACGATCTCGAAACCTCGGTGTGGAGATCGGGAAAAAACGGCAGACTCCGGGGTGGAGGTAGCGGCTTAGCACACAGAAAGCGTTCATCGAGTTTACTCTTCTGCGGTTCAGCCTGTTTCTTTGTGGGCCACTCAATGTTCAGCTTGGCAACCGCACGAGTAACTACCTCCAATAGCTCCTCATATTGTGGGGATTGAGGCAGCAAATCCTCTATGCTTTCCACATCAACCTCCTCGGAGGAAGACTTAGCACACAGAAAGCGTTCATCGAGTTTACTCTTCTGCGGTTCAGCCTGTTTCTTTGTGGGCCACTCAATGTTCAGCTTGGCAACCGCACGAGTAACTACCTCCAATAGCTCCTCATATTGTGGGGATTGAGGCAGCAAATCCTCTATGCTTTCCACATCAACCTCCTCGGAGGAAGATAGGAGAAGCGCCGAGCCTGCTCTCCGGGGGGAAAAAAACGCAGAACGGGCTTCCGATCCCAGCGAGCGGGCAGTGGATCTGGCAGGTGAGGAAGAAGATAGGGACTCGCCCATCTCCATTCCCTCCACCAGATCCAGCTGCGAACCCCACGAGTGCACCTGCTGCTTCGCCTCGGCCAGCACCGTTAGGAACGCTGGTGAAGGCTCCCTCCTCAAAGAGAGCCTTCCGGGAGCGAAGCAAACACAGTGGCAACTGCTCACAATGCGGACAGTCGGCCCCTTCGAGAGCCGACGCCGCGTGCTCCGCTCCCAAGCAGACCACGCACAAACTGTGTGTATCCCCGCTCGTGATGTAGTGTGGGCAGAGAGGAACACAGTCTATAACGCGATCTGCTTTCGCCCTTGTTTGTCTTTACTTTAGACATCTAATTTTCTGCTGGAGCTTTATACTTTCTTTGCTGAATGCTTGTGTAACGTTTTGGACAGACAACAATAAATAAGACTCACAGAACATAGATCGTGACCGACACACACAGAGAGCTTTGCTGAATGACAGAAAGCTAACTCCGGCTGCACCTCACATGCTTTTAAAGCTTCCTGGTCATGATGTCACCCACATCTGATGTCTCACCCATCGATTGGACTGATTACACATATGATTCAGAGCTTGGTATCGCTGAAGGCATTCCCCTAGCATTTTCCGACGCAGCTCGAGTTCCCAAAGGGGAACAAACAAACAAAGTTTTGTAGACACAGCAGGTTTTTTATATTTTTTAATAGCATGACCATAAGCTATAAAGCTATGCAATTAAAGTGTTGCAGCAGTTTCTTAAATTTGGCTCTGATAAGTAATTTTTTTTGGTATGAATGATGGTGTTGAAGTGATCAGGTCTGCTCCAAGGTGCACATTATCAAGTTTTTGTAATGTGTTGTTTTAAGATTTGGACATGCAGCATTTAATAAATGCACAGGAGATATTTTAAGCAACGCAAAGACATACAATGTGAGAATTAATCAGTGTTTGTACTCAAAACCTAAACGCATATTTCAGCCAATAATGTAATTCAGCTACAAAATATTCTCTGTAGCTCTGCACACCAGACTTGAACTCTTTAGCATATATTGACATATTGAGTTTATGCGAACAGGGGTAATTTGACCTCACTTCCTGCCCTAGTACAACCAGTCAGTGACCGCTGGACTGACCTTACTCTCACACAGCTGACCACAGGACGACAAACAAAACACAGGGGTGAGAAGGTCAAGAGTTCATAAAGAGACCCTTGAATACATTTGCGTACGATTCTTTTTTTCTACAACATGGTCCCTATTTGTAAATTCATGGTTTATGAGTTAGCCCACATTTTTTTTACTTTTCTGGTTACTGAAAACACTGTTGGAATGTTCATTTAAACTTTTTATATGTAAATTAATTTTTTGTTTTGTTTTAACTCTTTGGGGGGTGTTAAAGCCTTAATTAGGCAGACCACCTGCGATAACAATGACAATCAGAGTGTAATCATTCTGGTTCTGATTCCACAGGATTCCATCAACTAATCGTTTAGTAATTTTGAAAGACTGGACAATGTTTGGAAAACAATTTGCATTCACTTCCTCTCAGCAGCCTGTTGTGGTTCACAGCATGTGCTGGTGGGGTCACTGGGCTTCAGTTCACTGACCTTTTTTAGACTCTAAAGCACTGATATGTCATTTGTGATGATGAACAAACAAGACTAGGGCATATCTGTTATTCTCACTTAGTTACTGTAAAGAAACATTGAAATGAACTGACACAAGTGTGTATATTGTATTTATGCCTCTGTGTGAATGGATGAAATTGCAGTTCACAAACAAACAAATCATCTGTAACACGTCTGGTTTGTGATGGCATCCTGAAAAAGAGCCTTTTCTTTACATTAGCATTTTATTCAAATTGAGCTTAAAAAGACTGCTAAAATTCAGACATTCAGTGTTCACTGTCCATAGTTTGTTAGTACATGCACTATTTGTTAATATATAAAATATATTGCATATTCATTATATTTTACTTGACCTGTTGTGTTCATTATTGAATGTATGTTTGAATACATTTGTCATGAAAACACATTTCAACAACAAATTGGAGTAGTAAGAATTATAACATTATAACTTAAAACTTATGTCTTATGTGCAATTTTTGAGTGTTGATTGTTAAATAATTGGATCAAATAACTGAGCTAAATAAACTGTATTTTCTGTTTTGGTGAAAAAAAAGATGCATCGCTAGTACATTTTTCAACAAAGGTACTGCGAGAGCACAGTTGTGTTTGCTCTTCCTGCTGATGAATTGTCTGTAATGACACAAGTCTATAGCCTATTCTAATTGTCTCTAATAGCAAGCTCCAGAATTTGTCCTTTAAATTAATCACCCACTAATGAAAAAGTTGCTGCCTGATCTAACGATGCATCAGTCACAGAATTACTAGAGACGTTAAATAAGCATCTTTAAGGCAGTTAAAACCTGATTAGTTCTATTTATATGTGACAATGGTGAATAATACTGGGAAATGAAGCTAGTTTCTGAACACTCGTTTTCACCAAGATTAATCTATAAGTCATTTTTAATATTAGGTAACATCACTTACAAATACCAATTTCTGTCAGACCTATCAACAAACAGATGGTTGAACTAAAGGTGTAGGTTAGCTAATTACATTAAGAAAATATCTTTCTAATAAAACAATGAACTAAGGGACCACCACTATAATGTATAGGAGGATTTTATCTCTCATGAGCATGGAAGTGGTCCTTATGTACCTTAGCTCCTAACATAATTGTGTTCAAGTATATTAGAATTAAAATGTTATGGTTTAGCCTTTCCATAAGAAAAAAAAAATCTCCCAACTGCATTTGATGAGCAAAGCTATTATGCCGCCAAATACTTGTCAGCACTGACATGCTCACAAATATAATTCTTGCTATTATATAATTACCATCAGACTCAAATAAAAGTTTGGTACAGTCATGTTATGATTTGAAAATTCTGGTAAATATAGTGGAGCTTTATAGAGGCTAGAGGCCTTCTGCCAGCTCTTCACCAGAGCAATGTTCATGTTCTCTATAGACTGCCAGCATAAGACCATTGGATCATCTGGTATTTAAGCTGTTTTGTAAAACAATTATCCTGTCAGTCCCTCTAGAGCTCCAAAAGAAAAGCTCCATTTAGGTGACAAAGCTGTGTATCTGTGGCAGAACAATGACCATTTCTTACTAAACAATGTGGTGTGTGTGTATGTGGGTAATGTGGTTTCATACTCTGAAAATCAGTGCTTCTTAGTATCATAATTTTTGGTATAAATAGACTGAAATGCATTTTGCATTAAAACAAACCTATTAAAATGTACATATGGACTACCATTCCATGTTTTTATGGAAACTAAGTTCTAAGTTCTTATGCTTTTCGAGACTGCGTGCATTTGAAGAAAAATATAGTAAAAACAGCAATATTGTGAAATATTATTACAATTTAAAATAACTATATAACTAATAACTCTATTTACTCTAAAATCTAATTTAATTCTGTTATGGCAAAGCTGAATTTTCATCAGCCATTTCTCCAGTATTTGATGAATAAAACGTTAACAGTGTTTATTCAAAATAGAAATCTTTTGTAACAATATACACTACTGTTCAAAAGTTTTATTTTTTTTAAATAAATCAATACTTTTATTTTGAATAATAACTTAATTGTTATTATTACTACTACTACTTTTGTTTTTGAGTTTGAGATCATAGTATTATTTTTAATATTACATACAGTATATATGTAAATTCAATGTGTATATACAATGTACATAAATATTGTATAAAACCACTGTCTGTCACTAATTGCGATGATAATAATAACAGTATATATATATATATATATATATATATATATATATATATATATATATAT